ATGGAAGGAGGTTTTCACTCATAGGTACACGTCAACTATGACAGACAAATTGAGAAAAAAAATCCAGATCGAGGGAGATTATCAGTGGTCTTGTATGTCTTCCATTTCCTAATAATTGATCACACAGTTGATTTCTTCAAACCAAGCTGCTTACCTATTGCAGATTCAGTCTTCCCAGCCTGGTGCAGGTCTACAATTTTGTTTCTGGTGTCCTTTGACAGCTCTTTGGTCTTGGCCATAGTGGAGTTTGGAGTGTGACTATTTGAGGTTGTGGACAGGTGTCTTTTATACTGATAACAAGTTCAAACAGGTGCCATTAATACAGGTAACGAGTGGAGGACAGAGGAGCCTCTTAAAGAAGAAGTTACAGGTCTGTGAGAGCCAGAAATCTTGCTTGTTTGTAGGTGACCAAATACTTATTTTCCACCATAATTTGCAAATAAATTCATTAAAAATCCTACAATGTGATTTTCTGGATTTTTTTTCTCAATTTGTCTGTCATAGTTGACGTGTACCTATGATGAAAATTACAGGCCTCATCTTTTTAAGTGGGAGAACTTGCACAATTGGTGGCTGACTAAATACTTTTTTCCCCCACTGTATAGTAACCCTAGGTGTAAAATAGTAAATAATGGCTATATCTCAGTAAGTTTTAAACTGTCAAGAGGAGTAAAACAAGGTTGTCCACTATCGGCATATCTATTTATTATGGCCATCGAAATGTTAGCTATTAAAATCAGATCCAACAATAATATTAAGGGATTATAAATTCAGAGCTTAAAAACAAAGGTGTCATTCTCAATTTGTCTGTCATAGTTGACGTGTACCTATGATGAAAATTACAGGCCTCTCTCATCTTTTTAAGTGGGAGAACTTACACAATTGGTGGCTGACTAAATCCTTTTTTCCCCACTGTATGTAAATGTCCTATTTCAACTGTATGTATATATATATATATATATATATATTTGCGAGAAATAAAAAAATATATATAAACAAATAAAAACACTTTCTGGACACCTGTAGGCAGGTATAGATGGCTGAGAATGCCATTTGAATAAAGCCAGCAGCTGAAGAATACCAGCTCAGGCAGTGTGAAGCACTACAGGGACTAAAAGGAGTGAGTGTGATTGCAGATGACATTCTACTCTATGGATGTGGTGACACACCCGAAGAGGCGATGGCAGATCATGACAGAAACCTCACAGCTCTCCTGCAGAGAGCAAGAGATGTCAACCTGAACAAAAAAATAAACTCAGGTTAAAGCTACCTAGCGTGACATACATGGTTCATCTTCTCACCACAGAGGGCCTTCGCCCTGACCCAGAGAAGATAACAGCCATTCAGAACATGGGTACACACGACCAACGTCAAGTCACTACAGCGGCTGTTGGGGTTTGGGAAATATCTTTCAAAATTCATGCCCTGCCTATCTGATGTGTGCGAGCCGCTCAGAAGACTGACTGACAAAGACATTGAATGGGCATGGCTCCCACAGCACGACACAGCAGTTGAGACTATCAGTCAGTCACAACACCGAGTGCTCAAATACTACGACCTGAATGATGAAGTCACACTGCAGTGTGATGCCAGTGAGACAGGTTTGGGCGCAGCCCTTCTACAGAAAGGACAACCTGTTGCATTTGACTCCAGAACATTGACTCAGACAGAACAAAGATATGCACAGATTAAGAAAGATTGTCTCTCCATTATTTTTTGCACGTGACAAGTTAAACAACAATCTGAATGGCAGAGAGTTCATGACAATACACAGCGACCACAAACCGCTCGAGACGATCTCCAAGAAATCCCTACTCACAGCACCCAAGCGACCGCAGAGAATGTTGCTAAGGCTACAAAGATACCAACTCCACGTACAAACAAGGCAAAGAACTACATGTAGCTTACTTCCTGTCCAGAACAGCTGACTTCCTGTCCAGAACAACTCAATCAACCACAGAGCACAGACAAATGCTAACACAAGCCACGGTCTTCGCTATGGGACTGGCCACAACTGACCTGGAACTGGTGTATCTCACCAGTGATGTCAACATCTCAACTAAAACAATGGAGTCAATCAAAGCACACTGTTCCCAGGACCCACTGTTTCAGGCTCTGCACGCAAATCAACAATGGCTGGGCATGGAACCAAACAGGTTGTGAGTAACACTGAAACATCTCTGGACGTACAAAGAGGATCTCACCACTAAAATGGACTGACTTCATCCCTGACGTGTTAAAGCACGGACTTTCTACCCATAATCCACTCTGGTCACTCAGGCAGAGAGGCCCGCCTCACAAAGGCACATGATGCTGTCTTCTGGCCAAGGATTATGGAGGACGTAAATATATTTTATCAGCGATTGTGCCACCTGCAACACCATCCAGTAGAGACACTCATCTAGTACTAGTGAATGGTAAGAAATACTGCAGAAACAGAAGAGACAAGTAACTGAACAACTCCGGATCCCTCCGATCGACCACCAAACAGAGGATGACTGGGGACCATTGGATCGAACCCGCCACCCCAGCGGGTGGTGAACAACAGGCTGCTGCTATGGAAGCAGCCCCACTGCCTAAAACATCTAGCTCTGAGACAAACCAGAACCAGAGCAAATATCAGGCTGCCTGTGAGATACTCCAGAGACTGTTGTTTCATCTTAAAAAGGTCATATATTTTTATTAAAAACAAAATGAAGAAGAGGGAAGCAGATTAGAGCAGTTATGAAGGCGCTTGCATAAGAACACAGTTATGTTTTTATTACCATTGTAATGTTTTTACTGGTTTAATCCCAGTTCTCCTGTTTATGAGTCGAGGAGTTCTCTTAATTTTTTTGTCTAAAGGAAGATGTTACGAGATGTCTCCAAGCCAATAGATGGCGCTGCTGTTATGTGTATCTGAGTGTGATCCTCTATAGGAGGAGTGAGCCACGTTAGCCATTACTTACTATGCACTGAATGGAGCTGTATGCAAAATCTAATCACATTTTATTTATCACATGCGCCGAATACAACAGGTGTAGACCTTACCGTGAAATGCTTACTTACCAGCCCTTAACCAACAATGCAGTTAAGAAAAAAAAGACTTAAGAAAAACATTTACTAAATAAACTAACGTTAAAAAGAAAAGAGTAACAATAAAATAACAATAACGAGGCTATATACCCGTTATATACCCGGGTAACCGGTACAGAGTCAGTGTGCAGGGTACATGCTAACCAATTCTTATCAACATGACCTTGCTCTGGTATTGAGTAATCGGCATACAAAACAGACATTATGGGGTATTGTGTGTAGGCCAGTGACAAAAAATATCAATTTAATCCATTTTAAATTAAGGGTGTAACAAAACTTGGAAAAAAAATCAAGGGGTTTGAATACTTTCTGAAGGCACTGTATCACTACATTTAGGGCTGGGCGATGCATCTAATTAATTCGATTAATTCAAATGTATGTTTTTGCACAATATTCCAAAATGCCTGTATCGCAAGAATCGAGGTTTTGTTATTTTTCGGGGGTTTTTAATGAGCGTTTATACGTCCGCTTGTTCTCCTGTTGTATTTTTTGGTCTGGTCTCCTTCGCTCCTCTGTGTACCTTCCCATTCACATAATGAGGAGATGCACATAGGCCAACATCTATACAAAGTGGACAGGCTAACATGCTTCTCAAAACAGTTGGAGACAGACAGAAGGGTGTGTTCATAACAATTCAACTGGTCTTCCTTGTTAGCTAGCAAATAGATCCAAGTTGGCTAAACTTGAAATATAAAATATTAGCTGGCTAATCATTAGCACGTGGGCTCGAGAGATTGTTGATGAGACCTGTGTTAATGTTCTATAGCCTAACGCCTGCTACAAGAAGTTAGTCATTATTAGTGAATGTGGTTATGGATGGTTCAAGTTACATTTGTAACAAAAAAGGGCATTTTCATAGCCAGATCAGTGAAAAGCCAGATCAGTGATTATTGCAAAGAAAAAGCCGGTTAAACTATTTTGATATAATAATTAAATTATGATTGGGTCTTATGGCTGTGGAAGGCTTTTATTTAGCCTAGGTATAACCTCACAAGCCCCGAGATCATTAGATTATTGCTTACTGTTTGAAATGCAGTGTATTTTACCTTTAATTGTACAACAAAGCTTATTTAGATTTAAATCTAGATATCGCCCATAAGTTTGAAAAAAAAAATTGAGATATGATTTTTTAGGCCATATCGCCCAGCCTTAACTATATTTATGTTTTCTTAATTTAGCAGACACTCTTATCCAGAGCGACTTACAGTGGTGAGTGTATAGTGTAGCTAGCTAAACTTTAACTGTAGTTACGATACCTCCTTTGAAGAAGGCTCTGTGTAGCAGAGGAAGCAGCCCAGCCTGCCAGAAGGAGTAGCAGCCGTCCACCAGTTTGGTACAGCGACCCTGGAAAATCCTCCCTCGAACTATCTGTCTGCGGCCACCACCGTAAGGGGGGGGGGGAGAGAGGGGAGAGAGAAGAAGAGCGAGAAAGAGAAAGAGAGAGGTAGAGAGAGAGTGAGAGACAGAGACAGATTGAAGAGAGATAGAGAGAGAGAGAGAGAGACATAGACAGATTGAGAGAGAGAGAGAGATCTAGAAAAAAGAAAGAGAGAGAGAGAAAGAGGAGACATCATTCTAGAGAGAGAGAGAGGAGACATGACAGATTGAGAGAGAGATATAGAGAGAGAGACAATGCACAGATTGAGAGAGAGAGAAGAGATGAGAGAGCAGCGAGACATGAGAGAGAAGAGAGAAGAGAGAGAGAGAGAGAGAGAGAGAGAGAGAGAGAAAAGAGAGACAGCGAAAGAAAAGATAGAGTAAGGGGGTTGTTATTATCACTAAAGAGCCTTATCACAATGAGAGAAACTGCTGCCATTTTACCTACAGTCCCAGCAAGGCAGCCATTTTCTATCCAGCCAGATGATGAAATCCCATGAGGTCCCTATCAGAGAGGGTCTAATACGAATTGATATTTGCAAACTGAGAAAAGTGGACACGGTTGCTATAGCAATGGAACCTTTCCAAAGCACGAGGACTGGACTGAATCATTATCAAATTGGTTTAAGTACCAGCTGGAGTCCTCAGTCTTGTCTCTGAAGCTGGGCTGGGGAAGATAGACTGAAACTTACTCCACCTTTGTTTTTCGGGCCCACCCGTCAAGCTCCATCCCCTCATGCCGAAATTCAATTGAACTTCAATTGAATTTTTTGTAAAAAAAATATGAAAACAAAAACTTTGTTCTTATAGAACAAGTTCCCTACCTGTTTCAATCAGTTTTCTTCTGTTTAGTGTCTAGTGAATAGGACCTGTTCTGAGAGCTGTGCTTAGAGGTGTGGACTGATGCCGAGTGGTGTGGAGAGGTGTGGACTGATGCTGAGTGGTGTGGAGAGGCGTGGACTGATGCCGAGTGGTGTGGACTGATGCTGAGTGGTGTGGAGAGGTGTGGTATGGAGAGGCGTGGACTGATGCTGAGTGGTGTGGAGAGGCGTGGACTGATGCTGAGTGGTGTGGACTGATGCTGAGTGGTGTGGAGAGGTGTGGACTGATGCTGAGTGGTGTGGAGAGGTGTGGACTGATGCTGAGTGGTGTGGAGAGGTGTGGTATGGAGAGGCGTGGACTGATGCTGAGTGGTGTGGAGAGGCGTGGACTGATGCTGAGTGGTGTGGAGAGGTGTGGTATGGAGAGGCGTGGACTGATGCTGAGTGGTGTGGAGAGGCGTGGACTGATGCTGAGTGGTGTGGGGAGGTGTGGTATGGAGAGGCGTGGACTGATGCTGAGTGGTGTGGAGAGGTGTGGTATGGAGAGGTGTGGACTGATGCTGAGTGGTGTGGAGAGGTGTGGACTGAGTGCTGAGTGGTGTGGAGAGGTGTGGATGGCTGAGGGTGGACTGATGCTGAGTGGTGTGGAGAGGTGTGGTATGGAGAGGTGTGGACTGATGCTGAGTGGTGTGGAGAGGGCTGAGTGGTGTGGAGAGGGTGGACTGATGCTGAGGTGTGAGGTGTGGACTGATGCTGAGTGGTGTGGACTGTGCGAGTGGTGTGGGAGGTGTGGTATGGAGAGGCTGTGGACTGATGCTGAGTGGTGTGGCTGAGTGTGGTGGAGAGGTGTGGACTGATGCTGAGTGGTGTGGACTGATGCTGAGTGGTGGAGAGGTGTGGTATGGAGAGGCGTGGACTGATGCTGAGTTGGTGTGGACGATGCTGTGGTGGAGAGGTGTGGTATGGAGAGGTGTGGACTGATGCTGAGTGGTGTGGAGAGGTGTGGTATGGAGAGGTGTGGACTGATGCTGAGTGGTATGGAGAGGCGTGGACTGATGCTGAGTGGTGTGGAGAGGTGTGGTATGGAGAGGTGTGGACTGATGCTGAGTGGTATGGAGAGGTGGGACTGATGCTGAGTGGTGTGGAGAGGTGTGGTATGGAGAGGTGGACTGTGCTGAGTGGTGTGGAGAGTGGGTATGGAGAGGTGTGGACTGATGCTGAGTGGTATGAGAGGCTGGACTGATGCTGAGTGGTGTGGAGAGGTGTGGTATGAGAGAGTGGTGTGCTGAGTGCGTTGGACTGATGCGAGTGGTGATGCTGAGTGGTGTGGATGATGCTGAGTGGTTGGAGAGGCGTGGACTGATGCTGAGGTGGTTGGAGAGGTGTGGACTGATGCTGAGTGGTGTGGAGAGGTGTTGGAATGTGTGAGTGTGAGAGGCGTGGACTGATGCTGAGTGGTGTGGAGAGGTGTGGACTGATGCTGAGTGGTGTGGAGAGGTGTGGACTGATGCTGAGGGTGTGGAGAGGTGTGGACTGATGCTGAGTGGTGTGGAGAGGCGTGGACTGATGCTGAGTGGTGTGGAGAGGTGTGGACTGATGCTGAGGTTGGGGTATGGGATGGAGGTGTGGTAATGGAGAGGCGTGGGACTGATGCTGAGTGGTGTGGAGAGGTGTGGACTGATGCTGAGTGGTGTGGAGAGGTGTGGACTGATGCTGAGTGGTGTGGGGAGGTGTGGTATGGAGAGGCGTGGACTGATGCTGAGTGGTGTGGAGAGGTGTGGACTGATGCTGAGTGGTGTGGGGAGGTGTGGTATGGAGAGGCGTGGACTGATGCTGAGTGGTGTGGAGAGGTGTGGTATGGAGAGGTGTGGACTGATGCTGAGTGGTATGGAGAGGTGTGGACTGATGCTGAGTGGTGTGGAGAGGTGTGGACTGATGCTGAGTGGTGTGGACTGATGCTGAGTGGTGTGGAGAGGCGTGGACTGATGCTGAGTGGTGTGGACTGATGCTGAGTGGTGTGGGGATGTTCCTACTGTTCTGGTGGTTTTGGGGGATTGATCTACTATTTCAGTCCTCTCTACACATCAGCCCATGGCGTCTCCTTACAGACCTGGAGGAGTCCAAAATGACCTATATAGTGTTTTCCTTCTGACCGACAGGCCTCTGTGCATCCCGGCTTTACACCATCGCTTCAGACAAATGCTGATCAAGGGGAAGTAGTGACATGGGATACCTCTGCAGAGAGGACACGGTGACATTGGATGTGTGAGTGGAGTACTGGATGGAACGGATAGCAACGCTTGGCTCACAGCATCCCTGTTCAAAATGAAGTACAACTATCTCTATAAAAGCATTACAGTCCATAACACAATTGGAACCAAAGGAAACAAGACGTGTAACGTGACGACGGCACCTCACCAGCAGAGACTTGAGATCCAGCATGTGGTCCTTCCCCAGGATGACCATGGCAGCCGTCCCACAGAAGGTGTACCCTCCATGGGCCTCCAGCCCCGGGACCCCCCCTAGACCCCCCTCCCAGTTCTGACAGCTGGAGGGAGACAGGAAGGAGACGACATGGCAGCCGACAGTGAGTGGGCATTTACTGTCTTTCTATAGAACTGTGTAAACACATGCTCACTACAAAGTTATTTTTCTAAAATATAGGGGGCCAAACCCTTGTAATTAATATAGTCCATGAAGAATCTATTTAACTCACAGTACGACTGTACTATTCTTATGATAGGACTCAAATGTTTATAATAAAACGAACACCAGCCAGTTAGATAGACACATATTAACTAAGTGGTCTGTCTGAGCTCTATACTGCAGTACCTGACGATCCATGTGGGAGTGTCCTGGAACAGTGTGGGTGTCATGATGTTGGTGAGAGACGCCACTGATGCAGCACAGTACGCACTCCTACAACACAGAGAGAGAGGTAGGGATTAATACGACAGACAGACAGACACCAAGAGAACGAGAAACCGAGAGAGCGACAGAGAGTGACCTGTCTGTCTGTCTGTCTGTCTGTCTCCCCGAGAGAGAGACAGAGAGAGACACAGAGACCCCGAGAGAGAGACAGACACAGAGACCCCGAGAGAGAGACAGACACAGAGACCCCAAGAGAGAGACAGAGAGAGACCCAGAGACCCAGAGAGAGAGACAGAGAGAGACACAGAGACCCCGAGAGAGAGACACAGAGACCCCGAGAGAGACAGAGACCCCGAAAGAGAGACAGAGACCCCAAGAGAGAGAGAGAGAGACAGAGACCCCGAGAGAGAGACAGAGAGAGAGACAGAGACCCTGAGAGAGAGACAGAGAGACAGAGACCGTTGTAAATTGATTTGCCCTTTTGTACTTCAACTATTTGAAATGTCTCTATTCCTTGTGTAATGTTTAGTGTAAATTTTTTATTTCACTTTTGTTTCCCATGCCAATACAGCCCTTTGAATTGAATTGAGAGAGAGAGACAGAGCGAGAGAGAGAGAGACAGAGCGAGAGAGACGCAGAGCGAGAGAGACAGAGACAGAGACACAGAGCGAGAGAGACAGAGAGAGAGACACAGAGCGAGAGAGAGAGAGACACAGAGCGAGAGAGAGAGAGAGAGACACACACAGAGCGAGAGAGAGAGACACACAGAGCGAGAGAGAGAGAGAGAGAGACAGAGCGAGAGAGAGAGACACACAGAGCGAGAGAGAGAGAGAGAGAGAGAGAGACAGAGCGAGAGAGAGAGAGACACACACAGAGCGAGAGAGAGAGAGAGAGACACACACACAGAGCGAGAGAGAGAGAGAGAGAGAGAGACACACAGAGCGAGAGAGAGAGAGACACAGAGCGAGAGACACAGAGAGAGACACAGAGCGAGAGAGAAGAGCTATCTATCCAAAACAGAGATGTATGGGTAAACCACTTCTCCAATCTTTTTGGCCCTATAACAAAGAACAAACAGCAAAAAAAAAATACATGATCAAATGCAAATCTTAGAATAAACTATTAAAGACTACCAGAACCCACTGGATTCTCCAATTACATTGAATGAACTACAGGACAAAATACAAACTCTACAACCCAAAAAGGCCTGTGGTGTTGATGGTATCCTCAATGAAATGATGAAATATACAGACCACAAATTCCAATTGACAATACTTAAACTCTTTAACATCATCCTTAGCTCTGGCATCTTCCCCAATATTTGGAACCAAGGACTGATCACCCCAATCCACAAAAGTGGAGACAAATTTGACCCAAATAACTACTGTGGGATGTGGGATATGGAGATCTTCAACAGCAACCTTGGGAAAATCCTCTGCATTATCATTAACAGCAGACTAGTTCATTTCCTCAGTGAAAACAATGTCCTGAGCAAATGTCAAATTGGCTTTTTTTTTTTTTTATCCATACGAAAGACCACGTATTCACCCTGCACACCCTAATTGACAAACAAGCAAACCAAAACAAAGGCAAAGTCTTCTCATGCTTTGTTGAATTCAAAAAAGCTTTTGACTCAATTTGGCATGAGGGTCTGCTATACAAATTGATGGAAAGTGGGATTGGGGGAAAACATACGACATTATAAAATCCATGTACACAAACAACAAGTGTGCGTTTAAAATTGGCAAAAAACACACACATTTCTTTCCACAGGGCCGTGGGGTGTGACAGGGATGCAGTTTAAGCCCCACCCTCTTCAACATATATATCAACGAATTGGCGAGGGCACTAGAACAGTCAGCAGTACCCGGCCTCACCCTACTAGAATCTGAAGTCAAATGTCTACTGTTTGCTGATGATCTGGTGCTTCTGTCACCAACCAAGGAGGGCCTACAGCAGCACCTAGATCTTCTGCACAGATTCTGTCAGACCTGGGCCCTGACAGTAAATCTCATTAAGACAAAAATAATGGTGTTCCAAAAAAGGTCCAGTTGCCAGGACCACAAATACAAATTCCATCTAGACACCGTTGCCCTAGAGCACAAAAAAAAAAACTATACATACCTCGGCCTAAACATCAGTGCCACAGGTAACTTCCACAAAGCTGTGAACGATCTGAGAGACAAGGCAAGAAGGTCCTTCTATGCTATCAAAAGGAACAAATTCTATAACCACTTAAAAGGAAGCGATTCCAAAACCTTCCATAACAAAGCCATCACCTACAGAGAGATGAACTTGGAGAAGAGTCCCCTAAGTAAGCTGGTCCTGGGGCTCTGTTCACAAACACAAACAGACCCCACAGAGCCCAAGGACAACAACACAATTAGACCCAACCAAATCATGAGAAAACAAAAAGATAATTACTTGACACATTGGAAAGAATTAACAACAAAACAGAGCAAACTAGAATGCTATTTGGCCCTAAACAGAGAGTACACAGTGGCAGACTACCTGACCACTGTGACTGACCCAAACTTAAGGAAAACTTTGACTATGTACAGACTCAGTGAGCATAGCCTTGCTATTGAGAAAGGCCGCCGTAGGCAGACCTGGCTCTCAAGAGAAGACAGGCTATGTGCACACTGCCCACAAAATGAGGTGGAAACTGAGCTGCACCTCCTAACCTCCTGCCAAATGTATGACCATATTAGAGACACATATTTCCCTCAGATTACACAGACCCACAAAGAATTCGAAAACAAACCCAATTTTGATTAACTCCCTTATCTACTGGGTGAAAAACCACAGTGTGCCATCACAGCAGCAATATTTGTGACCTGTTGCCACAAGAAAAGGGCAACCAGTGAAGAACAAACACCATTGTAAATACAACCCATATTTATGTTTATTTATTTTCCCATTTGTACTTTAACTATTTGCACATTGTTACAACACTGTATATAGACATAATATGACATTTGAAATGTCTTTATTCTTTTGGAACTTCTGAGTGTAATGTTTACTGTTAATATTTATTGTTTATTTCACTTTTGTTTACTATCTACTTCACTTGCTTTGGCAATGTTAACATACATTTCCCATGCCAATAAAGCCCTTAAATTGAAATTGAATTGAGAGAGACACAGAGCGAGAGAGAGAGAGAGAGAGAGAGAGAGAGACACACAGAGCGAGAGAGAGACACAGAGCGAGAGAGAGAGAGAGAGAGAGACGCAGAGCGAGAGAGAGAGAGACAGAGCGAGAGAGAGAGAGACAGAGCGAGAGAGAGAGACACAGAGCGAGAGAGAGAGACACAGAGCGAGAGAGAGAGAGAGAGAGAGAGAGACACAGAGCGAGAGAGACACAGAGCGAGAGAGAGAGAGAGAGAGACAGAGCGAGAGAGAGAGAGAGAGAGACAGAGCGAGAGAGAGACACAGAGCGAGAGAGAGAGAGAGAGAGACACAGAGCGAGAGAGAGAGAGACACAGAGCGAGAGAGAGAGAGAGAGAGAGAGCGAGAGAGACATTGTTATCACGTATCAGTGGTGGTCTTCTCCACTAACAGTGAAGCCATGGCGATAGAAGGCTGTCTCAGCATCTCACCTGATGTTCACCTCTCCTCCTATGTGCAACACACACACACACACTTCTCACCTGACGTCCACTTCTCCTCCTACATGCATCACAAAGGAACCATCTGGCTGCTTCACAGAGAACAGGAAGGAGAGCAGCTTCTCCCTGAGAGGGAGGAGGGAGATGGGGAGGAGTTACTATAAACGCCAGAGAGTGATAATAAAACATTACATCTGCTGCTACGGCAACACCTCTGTCACACTCATTAGACACAACGTTCAGTTGGAAGAAACTAGAGACAAATTGTTTGAAGTAAAGGCACACCCTGAAAAAAACGGAGGTGTTACGTTTAAATTCAGGTGTGAGAATTGTTCGTTTTATGTAGTTTCTTTCTTTTGACGTTGTAGTAACACAGGTGACTGTACCTGTCTATGACGTTGTAGTAACACTGGTGACTGTACCTGTCTATGACGTTGTAGTAACACTGGTGACTGTACCTGTCTATGACGTTGTAGTAACACAGGTGACTGTACCTGTCTATGACGTTGTAGTAACACTGGTGACTGTACCTGTCTATGACGTTGTAGTAACACTGGTGACTGTACCTGTCTATGACGTTGTAGTAACACAGGTGACTGTACCTGTCTATGACGTTGTATGCCTCCTGGGTGCCGATGATACAGAGTGCGTTGACAGCAGCGTACGTGGGAGCCAGGTGGGCGGCTTGACCTGGACCTCCAGAAAACCCCCCCATAGGGCTCTGACACCGCGCCAGGAATTTACACACACTGGAGGGGCAGAGGGGGCAATGTAAATTACACACACACACACACACACACACACACACACACACACACACTGCAAAGCAGGTAACACACAACATGCTAGAGCTATCAATTGTTAAGATTGTAAACTGAAAAGCCAAACTGAGCCATCTCAAAGTCTCTTTCACCAACCTTGATTCTGGTATGGATTAAGACAAAGACAGTGTGGTATGGATTAAGACAAGAACAGTGTGGTATGGATTAAGACAAAGACAGTGTGGTATGGATTAAGACAGTGTGGTATGGATTAAGACAAAGACAGTCTGGGTATGGATTAAGAAAGACAGTCTGGGTATGGATTAAGAAAGACAGTCTGGGTATGGATTAAGAAAGACAGTGTGGGTATGGATTAAGAAAGACAGTGTGGGTATGGATTAAGAAAGACAGTGTGGGTATGGATTAAGACAGTGTGGTATGGATTAAGACAGTGTGGTATGGATTAAGACAGTGTGGTATGGATTAAGACAGTGTGGTATGGATTAAGACAGTGTGGTATGGATTAAGACAGTGTGGGTATGGATTAAGACAGTGTGGGTATGGATTAAGACAGTGTGGGTATGGATTAAGACAGTGTGGGTATGGATTAAGACAGTGTGGGTATGGATTAAGACAGTGTGGTATGGATTAAGACAGTGTGGTATGGATTAAGACAGTGTGGTATGGATTAAGACAGTGTGGGTATGGATTAAGACAAAGACAGTGTGGGTATGGATTAAGACAAAGACAGTGTGGGTATGGATTAAGACAAAGACAGTGTGGGTATGGATTAAGACAAAGACAGTGTGGGTATGGATTAAGACAAAGACAGTGTGGGTATGGATTAAGACAAAGACAGTGTGGGTATGGATTAAGACAGACAGTGTGGGTATGGATTAAGACAGTGTGGGTATGGATTAAGACAGTGTGGTATGGATTAAGACAGTGTGGTATGGATTAAGACAGTGTGGTATGGATTAAGACAGTGTGGTATGGATTAAGACAGTGTGGTATGGATTAAGACAGTGGGGTATGGATTAAGACAGTGTGGGTATGGATTAAGACAGTGTGGGTATGGATTAAGACAGTGGGGGTATGGATTAAGACAGTGTGGTATGGATTAAGACAGTGTGGTATGGATTAAGACAGTGTGGTATGGATTAAGACAGTGTGGTATGGATTAAGACAGTGTGGGTATGGATTAAGACAGTGTGGGTATGGATTAAGACAAAGACAGTGTGGGTATGGATTAAGACAAAGACAGTGTTGGGTATGATTAAGACAAAAGACACGTGTGGGTATGGATTAAGAACAGACAGTGTGGGTATGGATTAGACAGACCAGTGTGGGTATGGAATTAAGACAGTGTTGGGTATAGGATTAAGACCAGTGTTGTGTATGGATTAATGACCAGTTGGGTATGGATTAAGACAGTGTGGTATGGAATTAAGACCAGTTGGTTGTATAGATTAAGACAGTGTGGGTATGGATTAAGAACCGGGTGGGTATGGATTAAGACAGTGTTGGTATGTGATTAAGACAGTGGTTATGATTAAGACAGTGTGGTATGGATTAAGACAGTGTTGTTGGATTAAGACAGTGTGGTATGGATTAAGACAGTGTGGTATGGATTAAGACAGTGTGGTAGGATTAAGAAGTGTGGTAATGGATTAAGACAGTGTGGGTATGGATTAAGACAAAGACAGTGTGGTATGGATTAAGACAAAGACAGTGTGGGTATGGATTAAGACAAAGACAGTGTGGTATGGATTAAGACAAAGAAAGTGTGGTATGGATTAAGACAAAGAAAGTGTGGTATGGATTAAGACAGTGTGGTATGGATTAAGAGTGTGGTATGGATTAAGACAGTGTGGTATGGATTAAGACAAAGACAGTGTGGTATGGATTAAGACAGTGTGGTATGGATTAAGAGTGTGGTATGGATTAAGACAAGGACAGTCTGGTATGGACAGTCTGGTATGGACAGTCTGGTATGGACAGTCTGGTATGGACAGTCTGGTATGGACAGTCTGGTATGGACAGTCTGGTATGGACAGTCTGGTATGGACAGTCTGGTATGGACAGTCTGGTATGGACAGTCTGGTATGGACAGTCTGGTATGGACAGTCTGGTATGGACACATCCTGGTATGGACAGTCTGGTATGGACAGTCTGGTATGGACAGTCTGGTATGGACAGTCTGGTATGGACAGTCTGGTATGGACAGTCTGGTATGGACAGTCTGGTATGGACAGTCTGGTATGGACAGTCTGGTATGGACAGTCTGGTATGGACAGTCTGGTATGGACAGTCTGGTATGGACAGTCTGGTTGGACAGTCTGGTATGGACAGTCTGGTATGGACAGTCTGGTATGGACAGTCTGGTATGGACAGTCTGGTATGGACAGTCTGGTATGGATTAAGACAGCCTAAAAACAATCTCTGATGTTTATGAGGTAGGCATATGTACTGCATGATTAGTATTTGCCACAAAGCACATCATTGATGACCATATACTAGGCCTATATGTGATCTATCCACCAGTTACTGTTTCCACTATGAGGAGGCCTATTTCAAGGAGACACTTAACCATAAAGCACATCAATGACCACAACAGAGAGAAGATAGAAGCTACTGCCTCTAGTCACAGTAACAGACGTGACCACAGTAGCAGACGTGACAAAAGGAACCCAGCAACCCTGGCTGCAGGTCAGCTGAGTGCACAGGGCAGTGGGTTGTCTTGGCGTTACAGTCCTGAGGCAGAGGCGGGCACCAGAGGGTTGGCGAGTCCTAAGGTACAGGGCAGGCTGTGTCTGAAATGGCCCCCTTTCCCCCCCAAGCAGTGCACTATATAGGGAGCAGGATAATTCTTTTTTATTTTATACAATGTTTTATTGTCACATACACCAGATAGGAGCAGTGAAATGTGTTGTTTTACAGGGTCAGCCATAGTAGTACACCATACCCTGGAGCAAATTAGGGTTAAGTGCCTTGCTCAAGGACAAAGACACATTTTTCACCCCGGGTATTCAAACCAGCAACCTTTCGGTTACTGGCCCAACGCTCTAACCGCTAGGCTACCTGCCGCCCAACACATCCGCAGTATTCATTCTAAAGGGCAGTGAGAGTGCCAGCCGGTGGGATGGCTTGGCATTACAGTGCTGAGACAGAGGCTAGTGGGTCGTCTTGGCTGGCATCGCCGTACGGACTCTGAAAAGACAGAGGCAGGCGCCAGAGGGTTGGCGAGAATAAAACTAAATGAATTCTAAGGGCTGTAGGTTGAGAGGGTGTTTGGCCAGCATCAGGGTACAGGGCAGGCTGCATGCACCCACAGTAGGTGGATTGTGATGACCAGTAGGTTGGCATTATGGTAAGGCAGCGGCTCTAACCAGTGATCATTTGTACACTTGCGTTTTGTTAGGGTAGCGTGGTGCTATGATGTCATTTCATAGTGTTGTGGGAACCAGGTTATATTGAGTAGATAAGTGATTCTGGGCGCCGCACAGTCTGAATACCAAGGATTCCATTATGTCGAGGGAGCTCACTGAGGTTTATCTTAGAATGATTGACGGACATGATATACTGACTTGGGGTACAAGGTAATAACATCAAAGAAGGGAGTGCCCACCGATGGTTAACAGATGTTGTTGAAGAAACGTGTAACATGACGTATATATAAACTGAGAGGTTTTCTTTGTCTGGTAGTTCGGATGACAAGAGGCGAAGCACGTGCCTTTTGTTAGATGAACCCGGTACCGAATCTATTAAATATTTGTATGAACTCTCCATCTAAGTGTTAAATATCTTCTTGCATCATGAATTACTTGATACCCGAGAAACTCATCATAACACGTGGGTACGTATTTGTCATGATAGTGTAGCCCTGGTCACAGGTACTGCAGGATTCTGTCCCAACTAGGCACCACAACTGACCAACTGAGCTAATTGATCAGTTCAGTGATTGCCTAAATTCAACACACCTGAACTGTGTTCGATTACTCATACTAACCATATTATTTGTGACATAAATTAAGTATGTAGTATGCTTATTGATCATAGTATGGATATAGTTTGTATGACAAAAGTTCTCGGACATTCGCCAAAATATGAAGTATACAAGCAATGGACACCATTTCTGTGCTATTTGGGCCCATAATGCAATTCTTCAGAAAATGGGCGTGGCTTCACAACATTTTCAGATTTGAAGAAAATATGCAGCCGAAGACAGCAAATGTTTTAGACAAATGTTAATTTAGACAAATGTTAAGAAATGTTGAGCAATGTTTATAAAGTAATGACTTTTCTAATAAGTTACGTTGGCTGACAATTTGTTAGCTACGCTGGCCTTATGAACCACATAGCATATCATTACAGCAGTTGCTTGTATGTTCTGGTATGTTAGCTAGCTACCTAACGTTAGTTGGCTACTAATACATGGAACTTGGCAGTATATTAACTATCTGCTCTCTAACTAACTACCTAACGTTTATTGACTTGATCATTCACGCCATTCACAGCTTAGCTTAGTGGTATATATTCGTTGTGCGTTCTCAATGGACATTGTTAATGAAGTCATAAGCTGTCTAGCTAGTAATTTGTTACGCTAACAAGCTAGCAACAAGTGGCATAGCAACAGCATCAACTTCCGGTAGACAGGCGAAGCGGCAGTACACTGAAAGGACACCGTTCGTTTACAGTAGACTAAAATGAACTAATAGTATATACTCATTAAGTATGTAGTATACAATATGTTAGTATGGGTATTCGAACACAGCTCTGGTCTTCCGGGTTGGTTAAAATAAAAAAACATGAAGTGCCTGCGGCACTGCAGGACCAGTGTTGCCTACCCCTAGTGTAGCGGTGCAGTTGCTGTACTCACTCTGAGGCGATTGCGGTGGGCACAGGCTCCTCCAGCAGCTCCAGACTGTGTAGAATCCAGTAGCACAGCCACGGCCTGCTGGCGTCCAGACACTAGTAAGGATAGGGAA